TCTCTCAGTGCTGTCAGTGAGAGCTGTGTCTCTCCTCCAGTCAGTGCTCACTCTGCTGTGATGTGTTTATGGAATGGACCTTCCACGATTTAGCTAGCTTCCTGATAATGGTTGTTTTTATATCAGAATGTCCCATGTAGTGTCGGGGGTCACTTGGTCGCCCTGAACTGGAATGTACTGGAATGTGCTGGAATGCATGCCTGCTGTCTTTGGAAGAGCAGGCTGCCTGTGTCTATAAAGGGAGCTCTGGCGAGCTCTGCTCTGCGGTGTGGCTGCTCTGTCATTACAGATCCCACAGCCTGGAGACACCCTGCAGCATTCCGGCCTGCCCACAGCCCTGGCGCTGGCGATCCGCCTGCAGCCACAATCCCACTGCCCTCCGCCAACCCAGACGCAGTCCGCCCCGAGCACACACTGGGAATCCTGCCCTCCGAGACATGGACGCTCTCTCTGCCCCGAGCACACATGCCTCTCATGCCGTCTCCAACAGCCACTCAACCATTAACAGCAAACAAATCACTGGACTAGATAAGAACCAGGAGTCCAGGAGTGTGGAACACAATGGATGTGGAAGGTTTGGGAAAGACAACTGAAATTAATACTGCTTCATGTACTGATAAGGCCTCACTTATCACAATACTGTGCGTTGTTCTGGCCACGAGCGTGTAGTCAAGATACTGCTGCTCTGGAATCCGCCCAGAGAAAAGCAACCTGCTACATTCTGGGGTAAAACCTATTACCTTTTCAAGGTGACACAAAACCTGCAGTCGTTCTGCTTGCTGCAGACAGTGACAGATGTCTAAGCAAGAAAATAACTGCTGTTAGATCAATTCAAGTTTAAGTATCAGATACTGGGCTGCAGCTCGGAAACAGGGGGTCGAGCAGGTGCAGGGGGCAGTCCCAACTCCCCAAGAGCCCTAAATTAAACTTCTAATTGGAATAAGAGCAACATCGGTGGGCTTTTCACCTTCCAAACTGCATTCAAGTCGACTATTACAACCAGTAACTTAAAACCCACAGCTTCTTAGCTGCTGAAAACTGTGCAGAGTAACAATCCAAATGTCCCACAGTCCTCATGGGCCATAGTTCCCTTGACTGGACCAATCACTTTGCTACCTGCTCAATAACTGACACTGGTGTTAGTGGTGAAGAGGGTGACACTGTGGCCTCGGGCTTAGTGCTGTGGTCTCACAGCTCTTGGGTCCTGGGTTCAAGTCCAGCCTGGGGCACCTTCAGTGGGGAGTTTGCATGTTCTGCCCCTTAGCTATGGGGTTGTTGCCAGGTGGTCTGGTATCCCCCTGCAGTCCAAAGACATCCTGTCTAGGTTAACTGGCATCTCTCGCCCCACCGCTGTGCGAGTACCCTGGCGTCCTGTCCAGGCTGGATCTTACCTTGTGCCCATTGTCTGCCAGGTCAGTCTCCAGCTCACTGGCGCCCCCTGTTGGAGTAAGCAGGTAGAGACGGCGGGTGGAGGGGTGCTCCGTTGCTCTGGAAACCGAAGGTCCAGGGGAACTGGAGGAACTTGTCCACTTCCCCAGCGGGGCGCTAGCGACGCGTGCCAGAGTCCAAGGTGGCTGCGGCTCCGGAAACCTGGTTTCCCGATCCATCGTGTGTCTGAGGTGGTCTCCAGGCTGGCCGCGGCGCAGGGTCAACGCATGGTCCATACTGCCCTCTGCCCTCTACCCACCCCCCAACTTCTCCTTCTCCTCCTCCTCTTCCTCCTCCCCCCACCGCCCCCATTCCATCTCCGTCACTCTCTCTCCAAGTGTAAAGGAAAACTCATTCAAGGACTATTTTTAAAATAATTGAATTTAGAAGCAAAATCTGGCCGGTCATTTCCTGGGCCTGTGTTCAATTCCTGCCCTTCCAGAACAGCTGCTGTTGATTTTAGGCTTGTGTTGGCCTTCCCAGGCCCCCCTCCCCTTCAATGCCGCCCCCTCCTGTACCGCCCCTCCCACCAAGTTGCTTCTCCCAATCCCCCCTCTCCAGGGCCCTCTAGCAGAGTTGCTCATTAACTCTTCCACTGATCTTGGCAGGAGCTCAGAGCAGCTTAGGGTCACTTTCTCTTGAACCATTATTTAAGCTGTCTATGTGGAATGGCATTTCCTGGGCTCCCAGCAGCCCCTGCTGTACAGCTCCTGGGTGAGGATGTGCAATCAGGCTCCGCTGACATGCCCACCTCAGAGCTGCCCCAGGCTCCTGTAGCAGCCTCCAGGGGGCGTCACTCACTGGTGTCACCAGTGGAGCTGCCGGGCACTTACACAACCCTGGCAGAAGACAAATGCACACTGTCGCGCCAGTCATCCCAGGGGTCACTTTTAACCCCCCTGTAACAGAGGTGGGGGGCAGGAAGGGGAGCTGGCCTGGGGTAGGCGTGTGTGTGAAAAGCATGCCTCTGTTTCTCGGGGCAACCCCCCACCCCAGAGGCAGCCTCTGAGGACCCCTAGTTGAAGGCTGGACAAACAGGATCTCTGGTTTGACATGTAGAGGTCTATCTCTGACGGGGTGATGACCTCTGGCTTGTACTGAGGCCCCCTAGGGCCACTGCCGTAACTAAAGGAAGAGCAGCCGCTGTGGGGCTCCTGCCAGCCTGCGCCCTTTCCTTTTCAGGGCTGCGGTCGCCGCCCTTTTGTCCCCTGTGGTCTCTGCTTCCTGTTTCTAGAGGAAGTGCTCCCCGCGGGCCTGTAAAAACACCCTCCTCCACACACGTCCCCCTCACTCCCCTGCTCGCCGCGGCGAGCCGCCAGTGACCGCCGCGGCTGGGCCGCTGCCAGCTCACGCCCTCTCTCTCCCTCTTGCTCTCCCGTAAGTGCTTGCAGCTGTTCTGTTCACAGGCCCGGAGCCCGGCCCAAGACGGAGCAGGGCCTGGGCTCAGCTAGGAAAGGTCGGGCCAGGCTGAGCTAGGCCAGCCCTGCCCCCTGCCCCCCCCCCGAGCCGCTATCAGCGCCCGGGCCGGCCAGCCTGCGGGTCCTGATCTCCGTCTGCTGAGCCTGGGGAACCCAGGGGAGGGAAGGGGGGTGGCCTCAGACGGGCCTGATGTCTCACACGCACGGACCGGGAGCGCAGGGAGGGACACACGGACGTGCGTAGAGGTGGTGGGAGGGGGCTCGCCTGGGGGCGGTTGAACCAGGAATCTCCTGGTGTAACAAGAGCTGTAACCAATCTGGTGGCAGGACAGGGATGATAGCTGTGGGGTCTCTGGTTTCGCCTGGGGCTCCTTCCTGCTTACCGGCTCTCTCTCGTTTCTCAATCAGACAGTGCACTGGGAAACCCCTTGGGAGTCTGTCTTGCAGGGCACAGTGCCTGGAACTGCACCCCTTCCGGAGTCTGGGGTCCCCGTCCCCATAAAGGACTCTGTGTCTTCCAGCCCCGCAGAAATCTACAGCGTTTTAGGTTTAACCCACCAGAGACGAGAAGCTGAATTGCATGAAAAAAACGTCTCTGCCAGAGGTATAAATCTTTCTTTGGTGTTATGGTCCTGACATTCGAGCACATCTCCTGCTCTTTATTAAAGGTGTCTGGGGACGCCGCCGCCTTGGAAAGGAAATTAGATACACCTCCGGAACTCTAAGGACAGAGAGAACCCCTGGGAGCAAGTTTTCAAATTACATTAAAAAAAATCACATGAAGGATTTAAGGGAGGACTCGTTAACTGGTTACTTACAGTGCCAAGAGCCCAGCAATAACTTGGGAAGTGCGTTAAGCTCAAACCCCAGGTGTTCTACAGGACTGTAGTACTTCTGGCCTGAGCCAAGTACTGAACTATAAACAGCCAGATTAAACAGAAACAGCATCCCACACAGGCAGATCAACAGATTCACTCACTCACTAATACACAGAAAATCTAAAAAGACTTCACAAATAGTTTGGCAACCATTTCTGTTGATCAGAAATCATCCTGGAAACTGCAAGAACGGAACTGAACATGTGCAAACAGAATTACCTGTATGTCAATTGACTTTATTTAAAAAAAAGGAATCGGTATAATTCTCAGACACTGATGCAATGAAACAATACATCACATCAAAGAATCACTGAGACAGAATGGGTTACAGAGAGGGGAGAACCACAGGGAGGTGCTCAGAGATTAGGAGACTCTTCAATACAGGCTGAAGGACCGCCGACACGCTCCACACACCCTGTCCACACAACAGACACAGAATCAGAAAACGCTGTCCACACACAGACACCCTGTCCACACACAGGCACAGAGTCGGAAAACACTGTCCACACACAGGCACAGAGTCAGGAAACACCGTCCTCACACGCACCCTGTCCACACACAGGCACAGAGTCAGGAAACACCGTCCTCACACGCACCCTGTCCACACACAGGCACAGAATCAGGAAACACTGTCCACACACACAGGCACAGAGTCAGGAAACACTGTTCTCACACACCATCATTGAAAACACTGCGCACTCACTCACAATCAACAGTGTGCACGTGGGCTGTCCTCAACTGTCTATAAAACATGGTCAAAAGCTTCAACAGGTCTTCCAAAAACACTGTCCAACAACATGGTCCAACTCTGTCCACGTGTACTGTAAACACTGGCAATGCACACACGGGCTTTCCAGAACCTGTTGATCAAGAGAGTTTAAGCAGGACCAAGGCTGTCCACTGACGGCTGCAAAACCCCTGTCAAGACATATTCACACAGCCCACACAGGTGATACATTGAAAATTATGTCTACATGCATGGCCTGCAAAAGATCCACTGTCCACATGTTCGATCCCCACCCCACTGTCCACAGCTGGCCATCCCTTCCACTCTGTTTCAGTACCATAGTTTTGGAAACGTGAATTTTGAGTGCTCCGGGAGGCGAACATGTCACAAAGCCCCGTCTATTCATAGGACAGCAGCAGGTGTGCGCGGTGCTTGCCTGCTTGTTGAGAAGTACAGTGAACAAGTCAGTTCCACAGTCCACCCCACACCGGCCTTGGGGTTCCATGAAGGCGCCTTGGAGAAGCCTTGCATTGCCAACATTTTTGTCTCCATGTTCATCTCGGCCAATGAAAATTCGCCGACAACCAAACCTGTAGCTCAGCCAGTGGGAATTCTGCACACGCCACAATGTTGTATCTTCCCGTCACATCACAGTCAGTGAAAACTCAATTCCGTCATCGGAGAAAATTAATGGAAAGTTCCCACTGCAGCCGATGAGAATCGGCCTCAGCCAATCAAAATTCGGTATCCAGAATATTATGGGGTGCATCCATGCGTGTTCAGCCACTGAAAAGGTCCCTGTGGTGTCCACCCACCTGTGACATCACAATTCACTCTTCGAGAGTCAATGCCGTTACCATGGGAACGTGCCATGTACTCCTGAGACTGCGTGTCTGACACAGAAATCACACTCAAAGTTTAGTGTAAGTGCTAAAACACAAGACAACTTTAAGTACAAAAATAAAAACCACCAAAAAGGTTGTATTATTATTTTTACATTTGCAATTAAATCGGCCTTGCAGGCCTGAAGAACAATTTTTTTAAAATAAAAAAATACAATTTGGAAATACTGTGAGGTTAATCCAAACAGAATTCCAGACTTTCCTACAAACATTTCGAGCACTGTGACCTGCAGAGCTGAGAGATTGTCTAAAGGTTTCAAGCACATTCTGGAGGCCATTTCGCTGACCGGTGTCACCAAAAGCAGGGCTCCTTCGTCTGGGTCCTGGGGTCACGCTTGGGGCTAGCGAATGTCACCCAGCATGCTCCGAGCTCTAAAAAAACTCGCAAAGGAGACGGTGATCCGTAAGTCTGAACCACGCAACCGGATTGCCTGGAGTCAGGCCCCAGAAGTTAACTTCATCAGCACATTAACCGAAGCCCAGCCTGGGACACTGAGTTTACACAGTGAAGTTGTGGGGGTGCTTTGAGAGCCTGCTGCCTTTGAGCTCATCCGGCCCATTCTATAGTTAGCAGCCAATTGATCCGATTGATCTCATCCAGCCGGTTATTGACCAAAAAAATGGGTATAAGATTCAAAGACAAGGCAGGAGAGCTTGTGCCACACACCCGCCACCCCCTGTGTAAAGACATGCTAACTGTTCAGTTTTAAACACCGTGCACAGCCCTGCAACACGCCTCCCCAGAGTGGCGCCGCCCAGTATTGGCTTTTTAAATCGGGCCAAGGTTCTGGTTGGGCTCGGGCCCTCTCGACACCACTGGGTGGGGTCCTTCCCACCCGCACCTGAGACAAGGAGCCCTGCTGGGACAGCGAAGCGACCCATATTTAGCACATTCACCATCGATGTGGGTTTTTTTCTTCTGTATTTTTCCCCAAAGGAAAAAAAATAAAAGCATTTTCTTTAAAAAGAATAAAGAAGCTGGGAATTATGACATTCTTGCTTCGGAACGCGGAGAGCGGGGCCGGGGGGGGATGGGCAGTGGTGCTGATCCGCTGTGCCGGCGACAGTCCTGCCGGGCTGACGCCACACGGAAACGGGGCCAGATCACAGCTCCAGGCAAACTGTCCGCCGTGCTGAAAACCGGTACCAGTCTGGCGTCGGCCATCGGGCACCACTGCGATTCTGTCTGGGGCACGCAGGGGTTACCCACCCACAAGGGGTCGGGGGGCTATTTCAATTTCAGCCACCTCAAGGCGTCGGAATTATTCTATGGACCCCTGGAGGGGGGCACTGCTTGCTGGAATTTAAACCCCATAACCCCCACCCCCTGCAGTTTGGGCTGTCCTCGGACACTCAGATTGAGGCCGTCACAATCCCACCCCAAGATCCCAGAGAGCCACACAGCAGCCCTCAACCAGCAAGAAGCGGAGTCATTTTGTTTGGTCCCTCCGAGTGGGCAGTTCGCAGCAGTTAACGGATTTTCCATCCGAACTGAAAACACTAAGTTAAGACCCCAACGCCCCCTTCAGGGGACAGAGGTACGAACCGCCGACTTCCCTGAGCGATCCCGATCTGGCCAGGGACGTGAGCGCCCTCTGGTGGACGTCAGTAGGACAGGCCAAAGCCCTCCGAGGTGACAGTGCTCACCTATGACTGCGTTTCGGCTTCGAGAACGTTCCCCTGCTCATTATGTGGCTCCCCAGACAGGCCAACAAACACTCTTCTGCAAAGCAAATAATGTTGTCCACAGACTTGCTAAAATTAAATGAGCCCAGCTCCTGGCCCCAGGAGGTTAATTCCACAGGAGTGCCCTCCTACAAAAAGCACAGTGCAAACTCTTCCTTTGGTGCGCAGATCTAGACAATCATAGAACTGCTTTGAAAAGGAAAAACATGAAGAGAACACAGGTAATTACACACACAGCCGTGTGACATCACAGAGAACGAATCTGATCAAAGGTTTTAACACAAGCCTCTGGTAGCGAAGCCCGTTTTTTACAGAAATTATCGTTACTGCATCCATTTAATTAGAAAGTCCTCCCATCCTCAGGCAGAAACCAAGCATAAAGAACAATAAGTAAAGATGACAAAAATAAGCTAAAAAGTAAAAAAAAAAAGGACTTTTTTATTATTTTCTTTTGTTACTCAAAAATAGCGTTTCTGTGTTCAGAATGATCTTTTTTTTTGGCTAAAAAGTTTTTTTTTTTTGTTGGATTTTATACAAATATATATAGTACATATATACACAACAACCTTTATTTGAGTCATAAATGAAAAACTTGCGTGACTTGTATCCCAGCAAGGAGGGACCGACAGACGGAGGACACGCTGATCATGTGTGCCCAATGGGCACTCTGAGCCCCCAGCTTTCTGAGGGACTGGCACACCGCTGGCACTGAGAGTCTGCCACGCCGGTGCAAGTGAAGATGGAGCCAATTAATTCATTGATGAATCAATCAATTAAACGTCCTGCCAGATGAAGTGACTTGCTGGTGTGGCCTAGCTGCAAGACCTCAGAACGGACAGGACAGAGCCACCACCGGCCCCCTGTCCTGTCCCAGCGCCGTAGCGCCATGGTGTCATGGCGTCATGTCTGTCACTGCTGTGCTCGCTGCCTTGCCTCCCTGCGATGTCACTTCCTGTTCCTCCGAGGCCATCTCCTGGTCATTGGCGTGGGGGGCGGGGGCGGGTCCTGCCTCCTCCTCCATGGCCGTCTCGGGGGCAGAGAGCGTCTTGCTGGCGGGATCCTCGGGCGACCCCGGCACGCCGCCGAGCTCCATCTCGTGCAGCTCCACGTCGAAGGGCGGCGCCAGGCCCGGGCACGGAGGGGACGAGCCGCACCCCACACATGCCTGCGAGAGAAGGAGGCGGATGAATATCGGGGCGCCGGGCACACCCCCGAGGCTGAGAGAGGGGGCGCAGAGGCAGAGCAATCGGGGTGAGACCAGGGTGAAACCCTCCGGGCGGAGATGGGGCAGAACCCCGTTTCATGCCGTGCAGTTACAGGAAGTGTTGAGCCTGGGCTGCTGTTGCCTTACGGGCAACCAGGGGTGCATACCCTCCCTCCCCCCAGGGGGGGTGCGAGACAGCCCAGATTCCTTCGGAAGGTAAATCATCGAAGACTAATTCAGCGCAGCCACTTGGTTTTAATCAACCGGGCTATTTTAAAGTAAACTGAAAAAAAGAGGCGTGTAAGTGTGTATTCATACGTTCACTGAGAAACTGAAATGAATGCATAATTCCCTCTCTCTCATTCTACAGTGATGATATCTCTGAGGCCTAAAGATCTGAGCTACTCTGACGATTCGTGATCAGGGGTGCGAGAGCACATTTTGAGGGCCCGAGGGGTGCAGACTGCAGCGCGCGCAGCAGGCCTCTGCTCCGATCGCGGCTCGGGCTCACCGGGATGTTGATGGCCCTGGGCAGCCGGCCGGTCCTGATCCAAGGGTGCACCTCGCTCAGCTCCCTCTTCTGCTCCTCGCTGAAGCGCGGCTGTTGCTTCTGCATGGCGCGCAGGGCCTCCCGGTCCTCCCGCAGCACGGTCTCCGGGTCCCTGCCACAGACACGGGCACAGGGGGGGGTGTCAGACGGGCAAGGGGCCCCTCCCCAGGTGTGCAGGTGCACCGCACTCCTCCTGCTCCTGCACCATCCTCCACACCCCCCAGAAATCACCCAGAAATGGCCATTAGCACTTGACATAGCCAAGGCACTGACTGGCGGTCAACCACCAGATTTTGTCCAGTTCGGACACTGGGGATCAACTCCGAGCCTGTAAGGAGCATGCAGAAGCACGCAGTCACACCGTGGTCCCTCCACAGTGAGAGGATTGCCCCACTCCACAGTGACTGAATTAGGATAGGCAGTCAGTCCACAGAGGACCTGAGGACCTGAGGCCTCACATGTACTGCAGCCAGGCATATCACCCTGCAACTCCCAGCTGGCAGCCCCTCTGAAGCTCAGCAGGTGTGAGCCTGGCCAGTACCTGGATGGGAGACTCCTGAGAAAGCTAAGGCTGCTGCTGGAAGAAGTCTTAGTGGGACCAGTAGGGGGCGTTCACCCTGCGGTCTGTGTGGGTCCTAATGCCCCAGTATAGTGACAGTGACACTACACTGTAAAAAGGTGCTGTCATTTAGATGAGACATAAAACCAAGGTCCTGACTCTGTGGTAATTAGAAATCCCAGGGCGTTTCTCGAAAAGAGTAGGGGTGTTACCCCAGTGTCCTGGACAAATGTCCCCCTGGATTTTACCAACTATGGCCTCCTAATAACCCATCTCTGAACTGGCTTCATCACTCTGTTCTCCTCCCCACTGAGAGCTGGTGTGTGAGGAGCAGACTGGTGTATCTCCCAGATGGGGCTGCATACTGGTGGTGGTGGAGGGGATCCCCATTACCAGTAAAGCGCTCTGAGTGGAGTGCCCAGAAAAGTACTTTGAAGAAAATGAGCTCAAACGGACACCAGCCGTTCGCCGTCCGCTCTGCAGCTTCGAAACCGCGGAGAGAGAGGGGGGGGCCAAGCAGGGAGGCGAACCGGCGGGGACACGAGCGGTCAAGGCAACGTCTGCGTCTCTGTCGCTCTCTCACCGGGTGGCCAGCTGGTAGGTCATCATGACCTTCTCGTCGGTGTTGGCCATCAGCAACCAGATGGGGTCCTGCAGGACGTACTTGATGAACTGCTCGCTCTCCGCCGCCAGCCCCGCCTGCTTCTTGCCCGCCAGGTCGTTCTCCGAGGAGTCCACGCTGCCGAAGTACTTGCTGGTGTGGCTGCTCTGACTGCTTCCTGTGTCGGGGAGTCGGGGGGAGGAATTTAATCACTGCTACTATTCACTACCTGCACCGCTGCTGTGGGGCTTGGGGGTGATGGTGCAGCTGGGGTCTCCAGCTCTGGTCCTGGGGAGACCCTGTCCAGTTAGTCTTATAGGTCACCCTAAATCAGGGGGGGCTCCGGCCCTGGTTGTGGGGAGCCCCCATCCAGTTAGTCTTACAGGTCACCTGTTTGTACAGATTGTCAACACCTGGAAGCTACTGATGTATCAGGCAAGTAATCTGTACTACTAAGAGAACCCCGGTCCTTGAGGGCTGAGGAGTATTATGATTTCAGACCAACAGTACACTACTACGAAATTACTTGATTTACCAGATCAGCTTCTGAATCTACTGATCCGCTACACTGTCATCTCTCGCCTGACTGCTGCTAGGAGAGCACCCACTGTCCAGAGCATTAGGATGAAGGTGTGTGGTTGAGCCCGAGCAGCATGACCTGGTGGGACTTCAAGCTCGACCATTACCCCACCTCAGGGTGATCCCACTAGAGGAGGACGCGATGGGATTGGTGCCGCAATAATTTCAAAACCTGTACACACACTCACATCCTGCTCACTTGAGCCCCAGCATTTCATTTGGTGCAGGTTCCTAATTCTTTGGCCAGTAGGTGTATTGTTGTCGTTTATAATTACAAATCGTAGGACTGGTAATATCACAGTTTCTTTTGTTGCTGACTTTATGGCCAATGTAATTAGCAAAAAAATAAAGTGTATGTCTTTTAAAAATGCATTACAAGCTCCTAGAAAACCCAGAGTGTATAGTGTGAAACTCCAAGGTTAGTCCATAGCACGCAGTTAACTTACAGTGCAAAGCACAATAAAACTTGTCTTACCTGTGAATAAACCATCTACCAGAAATGTAATAGGAAGTCCCCACAATAACTGGTGTAGTTTGAACACAAGCAGTACAGGCATGATTTAATTTAGACCGGCAGCGGAGTGGACAGCCCAACACTCACTGGTCCCACTGCCTGATGTGCTGCAGCCGTGGGACCCAGAGCCCGAGGACCCTGAGCCAGAGGCGGCCGAGCCAGTGCCTGATCGGGAATCCTCCTGCAGAAGCAGATCCAGCAGGTCACTGGAAGTTGACATGGCATCCTGATTAGATGACTCAATGGCCTCAACCTGGAATATTGGGAGAAGATGGAGGAAAAATTAGTACATTTTAATCCAGAAAAAAATCCTCTCTCAGCGCAGAGAGCCACAGTTAAAGTATTTTAAGTTATACTATGAATATTATTTAACATGAATAATGATGTCACAAACTGCGATACAATATTGTATTCATGAAAAAAATAGGAGAGCACTGACGTTTTCATTGTCTTTTCTGTCCCCCGATGTGCTGAGCTGAGTGGGTGAGGCCAAACCTCCACTCCCTCCCTGCGGCTCCGCCCACTCCTGTGTAGCCACTCCCCCTGTGGGTGTGGTCTGCTGGGCCTGGGCGGCGGCCACGGCCAACGAAGTCACTTCCTGTCGGTTACTGGAAGACTCTTCTAGCTGAAGTAAGTTGAGTGGGGAGGAGCAACGGGACTGGAAGAGGGGTGTCTGGGAGCCCTCGCGGTCGGGGAGGGGGGGGCTGGAGGACTGCGGGGTGCTGGAGCGAGAGGGGGCCCGCAGGGGTTCCTGTGAGGGGGTGGTGGCCTGCAGCTGGGGGGGCGGCCCCAGGTTCTGGGGCAGGAGGGCTGTGGGGGCGGAGGCAGCTGGGAAGGGGAAGATGGAGGTGGGGTTGAAGAAGGGCTGAGGGAGGACCGGGGCGTTGAGCTGGGGGAACATGTAGTTGGGCAGCACAAATGCCACCATGGGGGTGACCAGAGGGGGAGGGGCAGGCATGGGGGCGGGGTTCTGGGGAGGGGAATAGCGGAGGCCAGTGGGCTGGGCACCGGGAAAGCCAGGGGGAAGGCTTTGGGGGTCAGGGGGGCCTTGTGGGGGCCTGGGAGTGGGCGGGTAGACCGAGATGGGGTAGGCAGGCAGGACGCCAGGGTGGTAGGGAAGGGGGGGCAGGCTGGCCTGGGAGCCGATGGAAGTGGGCCAGGACGAGGACGAAGTCGGGGGTCCCAGAGGCAGGTGCGGGGGGGACAGGGTGGTCGTGGCCCTGCTGGATGCTGGGAAGACCCCCCCGATCCCGACAGAGCTGCCGTGCTCGGACGGCTCCTGGTGCTTCAGTCTCTTGGCCTTCGACCTGCTCCCCCGTCCGGTGCCCCGCCGCCCACTGCTGCCCCCTGCTGGGTAGTCCCTGGAACTGCGCACCCCTGGGACGGGCGAGAGAGATGGGAGGTGTAGGTCAGTGCACAGCGTATACACACTGCGCAGGCGTGGAGCGAAAACAGGGCAGAAGAGAAAGAGAGGGATAGCGGGAGAGACAGAGACTGGAAGTGGGAAGACATGTCAGCGCATCTTCGTAACTAGGCAGACTCCACCAGGCCTTGCACTGAGAAAAGGTTAAGCGTTTGCCTCGTGAGTCAAGGGTGCAGATGGTCAGATGCAGAGATTAATTGGGATGTGCTCACAGGAGAGGTGTACAGGATAGGCCGCGCGTGAGCACAGTGCAGCAGAGGGCGATTAAGAGTGGGGAACCATGCTGACAGACAGATACAGCTGGGGAGGGAGAGTGAGGCAAAGATGGAGAGAGGGTGGAGGAGCTGGACTTCCTTCCAGAGGGAGAGGGAATGCTGACCCTGCAGGAGACAATCAGGTGCGTTTGCTCACAGGCACACACTGTCAAGACCACATCCACAAACCCAGCTGCACAAACAATTAGACAACCCTAATGCACACTTCCGCACCCTCCTAGAGCCACCTGCTTCTGAGGTTAGCGTATTATCACATATTATCTCACTCGACACAGCAGTTCTGACTACAATTCCACTATGTTCAGTTCTGACTACCAAATCCCACTAACGTCTGCTGTCCAACACTGCTGTACACCAACAAATTCACTCGATTCCTTCCCAGCTACCCTTCTCGATTCCTCAGCGTGAACCTGGTGCCCGCCGTGTGCCCCTCCTCTCCTGGTACCCTACCTCGCGTGTGGGGCACCCCGCTGTGCCGGCGCTCGGCTTGGGTTGGTGGCTCGAAGACCCGCAGCTGGCTGAGGTCGCGGAACCGGTTGAGGAACGCCTGCTCCTCCTTCTGCGTGTGCACAGACAGGACCTCCTTGGTCAGCCCCACCCGCCGCCAGGGGTCCTTCGGGTCCTTATCCGGGGGCGGGGCCACGGGCGTGGTCAAGGGAGGGGGCGGGGCTGGGGTGGGAGGGGCCTCTTCCATCATCACAATGTCTTGGAGAACAAAGGGGAAGAGAACATTACTTCATAGTGCCTGAGGAAGGCGGATATCCACCAGAAAAAGACTGGACCACTACCACAAACCAAATGAAATATAAACTGATGAACAGATGGTGGATAGAAACTATATTAGATATAGTATATTATATTAGATTATATCATATTATATATATGAGATATTACTTAAAATAGTGCTGCAAATTATTATTAATATTATTAATATTATTATTATTAATATTAAAGACAGGTTCAGAGAAACACAGCAAACAGCCACATACTGACAGTCTCAGGCAGGCTTGGCAACGAGAGACCGACAGAAGGACAGAGTGCCAGCTAGCCTGCCAGCCAGCCTGCAGGTACCTGACTCGGGGGGTTTCTTGTCGCCCACGTGGACAATGGTGCTGCTGAAGCTGCACTGGCTGGTGATGGAGACCACGCTCTCTGCCTTGCTGTGCAGCGCCAGGGGCGTGAGGGGGTGAGCGGGCCCCTGAGGTCCCCCCTTCGGCCCCCCTACAGGCCCCAGAGACACCGTCGCCCCTAGAACATGACGCACAGCAAGATCAGACCCCTCCCATGCACAGCAGTGCGATCCATTTCCGTTTTTTGTGGCCCGCAAACAAATCAATTATCCTGGCAGAGCAGAACAGCAACTCTGATTTCCCACTACTGCAGCTCCATCTGCTTGTCTGTGCAAACTCCCTTGAAGCACAGTGCCAAGCTAGAAGTTGCCATCACCTGCTATTGACCATTATGGAGCCCAAGCACTTGTAAAACCCGAAGTGGCTCAAACCGCAGAGGAAAAGGATTTGGGGTGGTTTCCCCACACTTAACACCTTAGCCCCAGACACATTTTTGGATGCTATAAGCCTTTATGAACGGGATGAACGCACCTTCAAGTAAACTCAAAAGACTTATAGGTGAAAAATAAGGAGTACCGATTAAAAAATAAATATGCATCACTAACCCAGTAGGCACAGTACGTTTACGCTGGGTACAGTACCAGGTGTGCTCAGCTCTGTGTCCCAGTGTGTCTCCCGATGTGCAGAGGGCAGTACAAATGTGTTCAATGTGGAGGCAGTGTGAGGCTGTACTGTAAGCTATCTGAAATAAAATATTATACCCAGCTCCTGCTTTCAGAAGTGTTTTGAAATCTGTGCTTTTAAAGGCCTTTATACTCTTCAGTGAAGCTCATCATAAGGTTTATAACACAGAGAACAAGAAGACAGGCTGACTGAGAGATCGGCCCTGAGCTGTGTGGTGGATGGAGGAAGAGTCTAACTGGAATGATGAGTCGGAGCTGACCCGTGTGGTGGACAAAGGGAGAGTCAGACTGGACAGAGGGGTGTAGTCAAGCATGCCCAGTGTCCAGGAGAAGACAACTAGGACTCGTCACGCACCAGTACGACACTGCCCCGGAACTGCAGGGTTCAGGTATTTGGTGTCTGTGCTTTGCCGAGGAGCCAGTGGTGTGAAGCTACCTTCAATGGGATTATGACTGAATGGCTCTAAGCCAGAATCCTCCCTCAACAGATAAAGGTACCTTTATTCATGTCTGAGGCCTCCTCTCCAGGCTTCTGCTTGTCGTCGTCGGAGGTGGATGATGCGGTGCAGGAGGAGGAGCCACACTTCCTCTTCACTGTGTTGGGAATGTTGCAGCTCTCCAGGTACCTGAGGAGGTGACAATGCAGGGAGGAGCTGTCAACAATGTGCACACCTGGCCGGAGACCCTGCTAGCTTTAAACACTCACTGTGCACACCTGGCCAGAGACACTGCTAGCTTTAAACACTCACTGTGCACACCTGACCGGAGACC